ATCCTTGTCGGATAATCGGATCTCTCGCTCGCACTCCCCTGACTGACCTATCCCAAACTCCAGACAGTCGACAGACGCGATTCCTAGAAGAACGTAGTACGCACTTCCAGGAAAAAATGTAGGTCGCGGTCCCATTCATAATTTCTGCACTATTTTAAGCGCTATGGAAACTTTGAATCCTTGTATCTCGGCAACGGATCGAGATATCGAGAAAAATCAAAAAGTGACTTCAATGGCATGACTCCCTCTATCATTCGAATAGATTTTGATAACAAAATTTTTACAACTTATTATGTATAACTTGTTATAAATTATCACGATCGACTAATATTCGAATTTATCATTATGGTTTCCTCTGTTTCTCGAACAGATTTTCACGATGAAATTTTTCAAAGTTTCATTGCGTGTTTCTTCACATAAATAGAAACAATTGGGATACGATATAGAATATTTGTTGTTCCGTAAATGATAAAATTAAAAAAAAAAGAAAGAGCAAGGAATTCTAGAATTTCCTAATTTATAAAACCCTCTCTCATAAACATAAGTCTAAACTGTCCTTCAACACAGGCACGATCTGGCATCGCCATCCGCCAGTAGATAGCCCAACGATGATAACCTTTAAGAGGGTGATTTACGGGGGCTACACCCCAGGAGGGTTAAGGTACACGGTAATTACTGTTGCAAATTCCTTTAAATTACAACTGCGTGCCGGGTAAACGGCGATTATAAACCGCGTGGCCGAGAATTATCAGAATATAATCGGATTACGTTTCTCATGCGGGGTGTAATTTAGAACGGCACTCTCGTAATCAGCGCCGCGATTAGGCGACCAAGCTATATAAGGGCGGCTCATTTGAATGAGCGTGCCGTTTCGTAGCCGCTCGAAAATTCCATTAGCGACACGCTTCGCCGCGCCGAGGTCGTATTTGTATATAGCTTACGTTTTCACTCGATTCGACTCCCCCCCCCCCCTCTCTTCCCCATTTTTCACACAAGTTTTACGTTCCTTTTCTTGTCTTTTCCTTCGTTTATTAAATATCGGATCGTTTACTTGAAAAAGAAAGAAGAAAAAAGGAATGAAAATTTTTTGAAAATTTATTATTCTTTTTTGTTTATTGATGAGAAAATGTAATGAGAAATTTCTTTCTTTTTTTTTTTTTCTTAATAAGTATGCTACATTTATAATTGGTTTTTGTGTTAAGGCAATCAGTAAAGATAAGATAGGATTCGATAATGCTTTTGAAATCTTATTTTTAATAGAGTTTCTTATAAATAATACCAAAAATTGTGACGATCCTTCGATCTTTGTAAAACTTATTTTAGGATACATCATTTTAATCGTAAAAAGATTAAGATATAAGTTTTTATCGTTTTCAAAATTGTTCAAATTGGATTTTTTTAAATTCTTTCTTTCTTTTTTTTTTTCTTTTTTTTTTAAAGCTTCTAGACTTTCAAGCTATCGAGCTATGCCAGGATCAGGAAAAATACGTTTCGTGCCAATGCTAATACCAGTTATTGCCTATTTTGCATAAATGTCGACGTTATTTTATGGCATTCTTGAATGGTATTCGCGTAATATTGAATATTTTATACGAATATATTATGTTTATATACGAAGGAAAAATAAAAAGAAAAGAATTAGAAATCATGAAATGTCCAAATCATATCATTTTCAATCGAAGAAAAAAATCAAAGTTTAAAAATATAACTATATAACTTTAACACTTTCTTCTTTCTCCAATGTTTCGCATAACATTCATTTCATATTTTAAATCTTAAAACAAGAATTTGAACTAGTATTTTACGATAAAACTAGATTTAAAGAATATAACGTTTTATCCACGAGAATCAAAGAATCTTTCTTTTGGAGAAACTTTTCAAGGGAATATGCGGTCACTTTTAAAACAAACAAAAGTTGGAAATTACTGGACGGATGAAACTGTTCACGAATGGACTGTTCTCGTAAATTTTCGGAGAGATAGTTTTCGCGGCCCGTTTCGGCCACTTTGAAATTGGGTCTCGATTAATTTCCATCCAGCCCGTCGCGGTAGATTCCTTGATTAATGGTTTAAATATTCGCCGATATGAATTGTAAATTTTCGTAAAACATTCTCTGTCCACCGCCTCTTTCTCGTTCCGCTTCTTTCCTGATACAGTTTCTGCTTGATTCCGTGCTCGAAGTTTCGTTATTAAATACCGCCATATCCATTATTGGACAATTCGGTTTAATTTTCGATTGCAAAGTTACACTTCGGAACGAAGAAAGTTAGAATTTAAGGATCTTGTATTTAAGAAACTGGCTTTGGTGAAAAAGGTAAAAATAAATATCGGGTATTTAAATTTTCGTCTTTTTAATCTTTTCTGTTTAGAAGAAAATTTCATTTCTGAAAATTCTTTCAAAGAGATTTTTATTTTTCCTAATAATTGACTGGTCGAATTCTTTTCTGAATAATAAATAAAACATAAACGATTTAGGCTGCTTAATGGAGCATATTGGATTTAACTTATGGATGCGTTAATCAATAATAAAAATTCGAAAGAAAAAAACGAAAGATTTGTAAAAAGATTTTTCCTAATCTCCTTTCGTTCTCAAATAATTACGAATTGAAAAAAAATAAACACGCTTGCAACAGATCGATATCAGGACGAATAGTGGGCAGCGTGTGGTGGTTCTTCACCCTGATCCTAATCTCCTCGTACACCGCCAACTTAGCCGCGTTTCTAACGGTGGAGAGGATGGTCGCGCCGATTAACTCGCCGGAAGACCTGGCCTCGCAAACGGAAGTGCAATACGGCACGTTATCTCACGGATCAACTTGGGACTTTTTTCGCGTAAGTGGATCAAGAGATCGAACGTATAATAATATATATAAAATTGAAAATAATCATCTCGAATGAAGACATTCTATTTTCATTTTACAGAAATCGCAGATTAATTTGTACAGCAAAATGTGGGAGTTCATGAACTCGAGGAAGCACGTGTTCGTGAAAACGTATGACGAGGGTATTCGAAGGGTGAGGACCAGCAAGGGGAAGTACGCCCTGCTGATCGAAAGCCCGAAGAACGAGTACACGAACGAGAGAGAGCCCTGCGACACGATGAAGGTCGGCAGGAACCTCGATGCCAAAGGCTTTGGAGTGGCGACGCCATTGGGATCCCCTCTCAAGTAAATCTTATTATTAATACTTTTCTCAAAAATAATTAATCTAAAATAATTGATCTTGTATCTGTAAATAAAATTTACATGGCATCAGAGTGAATACTATGATAAAAATTGAATGAAATTGAAAAGATGTTTCTTTACAAAACGATACAAAAGCAAAAGAATCGAATGCAATGGATGCGTGGAATATTTTTGACGATCCTTCAAATCTGAAACAAATTCATTTTATTTAATATTGCAATATCCTTAGAAAACGAACTAGGAGAACAAAAAATCTTGCAATTTCTTAATAATCTTTTCAAGGGATCCGTGAACGAAATTGAAAAATCGACCAGCTTATTAGGTATTTAACAGGAAAAGTTTCTTTTCGATATTTCTCGACAACAACCATTCATCACGTATTCGCGAGTAACGCAGGGATTGAATGGTTCGACCTATTTCCTCCACACGAGGGCATAATTAACGAGGTTTTGTAACGGCAAGAAAGGGGCGAAAGTACCACTACCCCTCGTTGCCTCTTTGAAATACTTTCGAAAAGGTCGTTCCACACAATTAGCATAGAAAAACTCGTACACTTATTCTTTTTTTTTTTTTTCTATTACTGTTTAAAGGATGAGCCCGATTCTCGTCGACCGACCAATTCAATCTCTCTGCAACCCTTCACAACGTTCAATTTGTGATTCAACGATTACACAATCTCGATTTTATTACGTTCGTGTGACACGATCGAGTTTTTTGTTGGATATTCTTGCTTGTTGCTTCTTTTCATTAGCTTTGCCTCTCATTCGTTTTTTTTTTTTTTTTTTAATAAAATTGGATATATTTTCCGTGAATTGTCAGGAAGATTAAAGGATTTTGTTTAACGAGCTTGTTTATAAGAATTTTATTCCTCTCGTTTCGTTTCCTTTCAAATCTTGAATGAAATCTTGCATCAAATTTCTATTTTTATCAACTTTATATTTCTTATTCCGATATGTATTATTGTATAAAATAATATAAAAGAATTTTCATAATTTAATCTTTTGAAGGATTCTCATTTTTAAATCATTCTTAATAAGACTTTCGACATTTATTTAAATATTTAGCTTTCTAAATAGAGATATATGAGCCATTGAAAAATATCAAATTTCTGAATCTTAGGACTTTAGAAGATCAGCTAATTGTTCAAAGATTAAATTTTTTTGCATAAATCATTCAAATCTTATATCAAAATTTATTCAACTTCTGATGTCAATTAAAATTCTGATATTTTTAAGTGTACATTATATTTCATATTTTGCAGGGATCCAATAAATCTGGCCGTGCTCTCGTTGAAAGAGAACGGAGAATTGACGAAACTGGTGAACCGATGGTGGTACGATAGAACAGAATGCAGGCACGGTGACAAACAGGACGCCTCCAGAAACGAATTATCCCTCAGCAACGTGGCAGGGATATTCTACATTCTTATCGGTGGACTGCTTCTAGCCCTAGCCGTTGCATTGTTGGAATTCTGTTACAAATCGCACACGGAAGCCACCAGAGCAAAAGTAACGAATTCATATTATTCTCAGTCAAATTAGAAAATTCCTCTCCTTGACATTCATCCTCCCCAAATTAAGAGACTCGCTTTTATTAACTCGATTAGATAATATCAAACAAATTGCTAGAAGACTAATTTTCTGGAAAAAGAAATTGTAGAATATCTCTCACTTCAAAAAATCTTTACTATATTCCGTTCATCCTTGTCAAATTAAAAAGCTCACTTTTATAACTTAATTAAGTATCAAAAAAATTTTATTGAAAGATTATTTGACTAATTTTCTGGAAAAAGCAATTGTTTGTTGTCACTTAAATCTTCACAACAAAGAACAAAAAAAAATCTGTTCCTAAACAATTCTACTTTCTCTTCCAATCTACTTCGATTCTTCATCCCCCAAAAATTCTATTCATCAAACCAAAACTTTTCAGATCCCGTTGTCGGACGCGATGAAGGCGAAAGCCCGATTGACGATCGGCGGCGGTCGAGATTTCGACAATGGCCGGGTAAGTAGCGAAATCCTCACCAGATTCTAGATCATTGGTGTCGATCGTAACCACGCGGCCATGTGTAGACAACACGCTCGAATAGAATCGACGAACAGGGAAACAACGGTTGCGAAACGATTCCGTTTCCATCTTTGAAATTCGAGAAGAATTCCGCGAAAGGAGGGAAACTGGAAACGTTTTCATCCCTTTTCCGCCCCTGTTTCGAAACCAACGAAATGTATCGTGTAACATACGCCCCCAATGTGGCGGCGTCGGGCTGCATTATGCATATCCGTGCAATACAAGAACCTCTATAACATACATATGCATATATAGAAGCATATATATGTATATATATATATATATAATACAATAGAGTAAGTTAAGGCATGCAGTTAGCAGGGTGTATACGTTCCACGTGTGTATTGTGAAAGACGGTCGGGCTATCGAGAATTTCGAACAGGGACGTGGTTCTCGAACGATGTTTCTCACGATCGACCTAAGGGCTGTCATCGATCGTTCTCGATATACATCGTACATTTTATTTGGTGCGAACTTGTATACTTGTATAGGATGTTGAATATAACACGCGTTCGTGAAATAACTTTTCACGAGGGATCGAATGGAAGAACGTGTAAAATTTGACCCGCAAAAATGCGCGAGATAAGAATGTTTCTTTTTCTTTTCTCCAGACGATACGATAAAATTTTGAAAGAATCGATGCCTCTGAAAGATGTTCCACGAGTGCATTAACGAGTCTGTGCATAAATAAATATTATGTATAGAAATATACAGATTATTTAATTTGTATATATATATATATGTGTGTGTGTGTATAACATATATATATATATATATATTTATATCATACGTACATGCGTGCGATGTGCGGCTGGCTGGATGTGTTGCGCTCTTTTCTAATTTCTATTTATTATTACTTACATATACCACCTCCCCCTATCTCTATCTCCACCTTACTTTCTATCTATCTTTCTCTCTGTTTGTAACTCGATGGATGCAGATGGAGACCGTAATTTTTGCTCGTTTTGCGCGTTTCGTTCTACTTTTGTTTTTGTCTCTAGTGGTACGGACTGCAGAGTTAGACGGAGGATGCATGCGCCTTTCCCGGGACCATATGTGAGTACTCTCTAACCCTTAATTATACGTCCCATCGTGCGCTCTCGATCACGATTCTAAACGCGCCTATTCTCCATCCCTATCCCCCTCTTGCTTCATCTTCTTTTCTATCTTCTCGAATAGAGATCATCGATCATAGTGTGTCGCTCGATCTTCGCTCACACGATTCGTTCTCACTTCTCCTTTTCCATGATTTATTTCAAACCGTTGTTGTTTCGTTCACGATTCACAAGCAGATCTCTATGTTTAAAAAATAATTAATCTCTTCTCGAACGATCTTCATTGATACACGATTCGTCGATGCACGATTCAGTTGTTGAAATTTGAGACACGCGAATTGATAATGATAAAATTGTAAAAGATTAGTGAATATTTTTAAAATAGTGGAAATAATTTGCTCGGATATTTGCTTGTTTTTTTTTTTGTAGATTCACGTACACACACATACAGGCGTCCTTCTACCTCCTGCTCGCTCCTCCATCTTTGCAGCTTTGGTTATCATGAAACTGGCTTACGATCGCGAAACAAGAGCATGGCTTGCAGCATTATTTTTTTAGAGGATCGTGAGGAATGAAACCGTGACTGATTTGTCGAGTTCGCATGCAGCTTTGAAAATGCTTGTACGTTAGACAACCGCTGTGTTTACACTGCTATATGAAATTTCTTCCCTGTTTTCAGATACAAATATATGGATTCGCCGTGAACATAATTTTATAATAAATGCTAAACACACGATCCACTCCCTTCTTTTTATAATTTCTACGAATCTGATTCAACGATCCGTCTATCTCTTTGCTTTGTTAAAGCAAAACAGTGGCGATTCTCAATGCAGGGAAAAAAATTAAACTTATTCATTCGATGAACGAACGGCTCTGTTGCACCATCGTGGAAAAATCTCCAATCTGGATATTGCAATTTCAAAGAAATTTCAAAGCGAAACGATTTGTATCGAGATTTTTTGTCCACGATTCGAATTTAAAAACGAGAAAAAAGAGCCAAGTGCCAAAAACAAAAAATCTTTTCCAAAAAAAAAAAAAAACCAAATACATTTTTCAATAATTTTTGCATATCTCTTTTTACTTTTTCTCTCGTTTCTTTCTTCTTTTTTTTTCTCTTTTCTTTTCAAACAATATATGTCAAGCACGATTACTTGTTTTAAAACGCTTTAACGCAGCGAAATGGAATTTTCAGTAGCAGTGTAAACAGACCTTTGAACGGAACTGTGCATCGAATGACGACTCGCGTCGTTTCTCTCGCGCCAAAAGCGCGATACGATCCCTCCCCTCCTCTCGCTCCTCTCACTCACTTCTCTTCCGGAGCAAGTACGTTTCACAAAAGGCAGGACGGTAGAACGACGACCGTGGAGAGAATTTTTATGCATCGTTCGCGAGACACTTTTCTTTCTTTTTTTTTTTTTTTTTTTTTCACAAACGGGACTCCGTGAGTCGCAACATCGCGACTCACTTCTTCGCGATTACTTCTTCTCCCGCATAATTTCCAGACAGGTAATTTCCTCGAGGGGTAATCATCTACGGATTGTGGAGATATTTATGCGGATGAGCTCGATCGTATGAAAAAAAGAAAGAAAAAAAATACGAGAGATACGAATATACAGAAGGATCCCCTATTTAAATACCATTTTCGAATTTCTGCGTCGTATGAGGGAAGCGCAAAAAATTGGAAATGAATAGGTATTTTTTTTTTTTTTTGTAATACCAGAGACAGAGAATAACGTGCATTTTAATCTAAAGTAGCATTTTCCGGATACGTATCGTAATATCCGAATGTTCTATTATCCGAGTGTGTTCATTTATTATTCGCAAATACGTGTCTATTTTTTTCATCACAATGGAACGTAATTTGAAATTCACGTTTACATTATTTATATATGGAATGGAAATGAAACTATGGATGTGGAAAAGTACGATCTTCCAATTTTTTTTTTACATCATTATCATAATTTCGTACACTTTGTTCGTAATAACTCGGATAATAGATGTTTATTCAGAATCATTTGGTTAAAATTTGATAATATCGCGTGTCTTCTTATTCTTACCTCTTTTCTCACCAGAATTTTACTTTTATTTTTCAAATTTATGGGATCCTTGCTCACCGCATCTCCAAGAAAATTTCTCTTAAGTGGAAGTACGTACAGTATGCACTATTTGAATCGCTCCGGTAATTGAAACGAGATGAATACTACTCTGGATACTAACGAGAATCGTTATATTCTTGGAAATACGGAATCCGTTCTGAAAATTTATTTATACTCGCTCGTTACTTTCATGTTTCGTAATCGTTCTAAATCGAGACGAACATTGCAAGATTACAAATAAATTCCAAAGTAATTGCAAAAAATTTCCAACCCAGCCGAAGAAAAATACACGCAATGCGTCGTCCATCACAACCTTGTGCTTCCCACAAAAATAAACTCGCATTGAATGTCCACCGTTGAACTTTAATCGAAACACCAAAGGAAAAAAAAAAAAACGCACCTACGTTAAAAAGAATCTTCACACAACACCCCGAATCATCGAATCGCTCCTCGACCCAAACCGACCAAAAATACCAAAGACACCAAACTCACAGATCCGCGAGGAGCACGATCACCCCACCCCCTCCTCCCCCTCGAGCACCGTCACACCCCCCCCTCCCCCTCAATCGGAAGCGTCATAACGGGGGGACCGCTTGGATTTGCAGTACTACGCTCCGGCAAACGCGATTGGCAACACCGAGGGCGACCAGGTGCACAGCAATACGCATACCCAGGTGTAAATTACCTGGAGACGCACAGCATGGAAAGCCCTGGCGAGTCGCCCGCGATCTCCCTGCCCACGCCTCCACCGCCGCCCCTGATGGCGTCTCTGCCCCCGCCGCCGCCGCCCCCGCCGCCCAGAAGGCCGCAACGGAGAAGCGTCACCTTCGCGGAATCGCCGCCGAAGAGCCCGAAGAAATCGAGGTTCTCGCCGTTCATACGAAGGCCGAGCATCACGATGCTAGACGTCGCGGTTCCCTGGACACCGGCTTCGCCAAGGGTCTGGTCGGGCCGTCCCGGCGACTACAAGCCCGAATACATCACTTAAAAGGATATATATATATATATGTATATGTACGAACAGACGATAAGAGAAGATGAAAGAAGAAGAAGAAGAAGAAGAGGAAGCTCCTTACCACGTGGAGGAACTGGCTCCCGCAGCTCCTCGGAACATCCAAAGATCCAATCGATCCCGCGTTTGCCGAATCACCGCGACTCTCGTTCTCTCGGCGCCGCCCTCGATAATATATATATATATATATATATATGAATGATGAGAAATTGTAATTTTGAGAGAGAGAAGTGGACGGATCTGTCTCGTTCTGCTTGTTCCAAGTTCCTCGAATCGTACTGCCGCACGCGTGATTTGAGATCGTCGAGGTGGATCGATTTCGTCAGGTCGGATCGACGTGTATCCATCCGAAGAGGAGAGGTGTGTGTATGTGTACGTGTGTATATGTGGGCGCGAGCAAAAAGAAGAAAAAGACTCGAAAAATTTTTGGAGAAACGAGGGGATCCTCCTCCTGTCGTTTCTACATTGTATATATATATATATATATATATATATATATATATATATAT